GATGTCACTCCCACTGAAATCTGACACTCGCTGAAGTCACTGGGTTGGCAGCCAATGGGAACAGTTCCTTTTTGCTCTCTTCTCTCATCTTTGTAACACAGCCATGGCTTTCGATGCCTGAACATTTTTTTTTGCCTGAACATTTTTTTTTCCTAATCTTTCTTTTCTGTTAAAATCAGGATATATGTTAGATATTGTTATGAGATTTTGAACACAAGTGTGAACTCTTGTGGTTAATCTTCATTCATTTTTGTTTATATTGCTGGGATTTAAGCCATGCTAGGCAAGCACCCTACTCTGGAGCTACTTCCTTTTCTGGCTCCTTAGACTCTTTTAGCTTCCAGAGTTGGGGGTGTCTACTTTCATCTTCTCATTTCTACCCATTTGTCAGGTCTTGCTTGGCTTCTCCTCATGGATCTCTTTGCCCCTCTTCCTTCTGTCTTCTCCTATTTCCCTTGTTCTTGTCATCTTGGGCCTGAGCTTTCTATGGGTTTTCTTACCAAGGGTACCACCTGTCTTCTCATCTATTCTGGTTCTTTATAGCATCCAAGCTCACTCCTCACATCAGAATCTTTATCCTAATAGCAAATGTTTCCTAAGGGCCAGGTGTGGTGGTGCACACTTTGATTCCAGCACTCCTGTAGAGGTAGGTGGATCTCTGGGAGTTTGAGAGTAGCCTGGTCTACATAGTGAGTTCCAGAATGGTCAGGGCTACATAGAGAGACCCTGTCTGAAAAGCAAAAGAATAAAACAAAATGTCTTTTTAGTACCGTCTCTGCTACAGAGGACAGTTGATAGGAGTGACCTCTGGTCATTGATGAGCCACTGCCGTGGTCCACAAAGACTCTCTAGCCCTAAGGCAGAATCTTTGAGGCCATTATCAGGAGTTGAGTCCTGGCAAACTTGATCAGCCCCCCAATCTGGATGATATGGAGAGTCAGGATCAGAAACTGTCATATAGCAACTTCTAGACACAATTGACACTTGACACAGGAAAATGCCAAGCCACTGGAGAATGGGGAGAAAGAAGAGGGACAGACAGCAGAACTGTCGCAGAGGAGTTGGAGCACACACCCATGAGCAGCTGCAGGGAAGCACAGTGCTTTATTCTTTGTGTGTATTAGGGTGACTGCCCTAGCCAAGCTGACCTAACTCATAGGTTTGGAATTTATTTCCACATTTTGCATTCCCACGGAAATGTTTGAAAAACATGCTTTTCTCCTGGACTGTCAATTTTCAGGAAAACTGGGTGGTGGTGGTGGTGGTGGTGGTGGGGTCTTTTAAACTTCTCCCCAAGAGAATCTTACACAATCCAAACTGTTAAAATAAACAGGCTGGGCTAGGATTCACATTCAAGAGCAGCTTGTTGTGGAGGTGGCATGGAGGGGGGAATTCTGTAGGAATGGAAACATCCAGAGGACACTTCAAGCCTGTCCAGACGTCATCATGCATTTTAGCTCAATTCTGTGTCCAGGTAAATACAATCCTGTGTTCCAGGCACATTTCCTTGGTGCAGAACACTGTGGCCCCTTTCCAGAACCATTCTTTTGTTTGAGAACAGTCACCCAACAAGTTCTGAATGCCTTGGAGCACAGCACAGGAGCTGGGAGTTTCCACTGTGTTGTTTGCACAGCTCTTGAAGGGTGCTTGTTGGGAGCCAGCTCTTTTCTCTCCTGCATTAAAGTGGACACCTTTTATTTTCCTCACACTGTTTGATGTTGGAGCTATGTGATGTTCCCTAGCTGAGTGGTCTCCAGGCAAACAGGATTCCCTTCTCCTAACTGAACCTTGAGAGTCAACCATGCCTCCTGGCCATGGACACTGGGCCATTTCTTCCTATGCAAAGACCACCAAACCCTGGCCAGTACCTCCTGCTGTTGGGAATCTCCATGATTGTCCCGAGTCTCTTACACATTAGTAATGCTGTATATACTGTGTGGGAGTTGTCAAGTTTACTGTCTCATATGCTCTATAATGGAAGGAAGAATGACTCTGGAAGTTTACATAACTGGTCCAGGTGTATTTAACTGGGTAACTGGCTTTCAAATCTCAAAGTGGCTTCTACTCAAAGATAAAAATGAAGTCTGAAGGATCCAAATTCATTCTTTTTCTGAGAAACATAGCAGTTCTCCTCATATATGGTGAAAGTGGCAACCACAGCCTGAAAATACTAAATGGAAATCCCAGAAATAAAAATAATTCATGTCTTAACAACTTTCAATACAACCTTCTGTTATAATTGTTCTAATTTCTGATTGGTTACTATTATAAATATATTAATATATCTAATTTACAAGCGAAACCTTGTCATAAGTATATGTGTATAGGGAAAAGTATGATATCTAAGGATTTGGTACTCTTTGTTTTCAGCTCTCTGCCTGGCTCCTGGTCTTGGAACATATTTTAGTAGATTAAGGGAGTGTGGCATGGGAAAGAATCTACAACAAAGAAGTTAAAAAGACTGGAAACCCTTCCCCACCCAGACCACAAGTAGCATGTGGGAGAAAAACCGGTGCCCATGTGAATGACTTCTGAAGGATTCTGAGACCAGTGGCCCAGTGCTTCTTGGCCCACACTTTCTCCCAGCTCGATAGCCCACTTCCATTCAAGGAACATCTCTCTTAACGAATGCTTTCTGCTTCTCTTGCTGACCATGTGTCCTTGGTGCAATTCTTTGTCCCTGGACGTAGGAAGCAGGGCACTTCAGTGGTTGCCTCTAGCAGCTCTGTGCCTACAGCAGGAAGAACATTGTATCTTATTCTCATAAGGGAGGCTTCAGAGATTTTTGAACCGCAAAAACATCAGGTTTGACAGCTGGTTTGAGAGCCTTGCCAATGGTTGGAAACCCAGAAGAGGGGGCTCTTTGCATATAGTGTTGAAACCTGTCATGTACTTGGGGGGGAAGGTGAGAGCAGGAAAGATGGAGGAAGCATGGGAGAGTAGACAGATAGATACCCTGCACTCCTGGCATGCTCACAAGGCGTGCTTTGTTTCTAGGTTTCCACTATCTCTACTTCACTTTAATAAACATCCCACTGACATACTTCATCTGTCTTTGGGGCAATTTATACAGAATTATGAAAGGCACGTAAAGGAAGCCTAAGTGGGAGCCCAGATTAGCTAGCGTTGGTGTTCACATGAGGCAGCACCAAAGTGTCTGACACAGGACATGTGTCATTGTCACAGGTGCTAAAATTGTAAGGCCTGGTACTCACAAGTAAACAATTCTTATCTTTTAAGTCAGACAACTGTACCAGTCAGAATTATAGTCTTATCCAAAAAATACAGATGTGAAAAGTAAAGCCCTTATAAAATAATGTTTATCTACATGAGTCTGTGTTCAGCCTCTGAACACAGGGCTGGCCTGAGAAGCAGGCAGCACTTTGTTGAGTGGGTGTGGCCAGAGTAGATCCTCAGGCCAGGTGCCAGCACTTTAGTTTTTATTTACTTAAGGTTGACAAAGTAGAAAGATTGACAGACAGACAAACCAACACAGACAGAAACTCTTCCTTTCAATTGTGACTACAGTTCAGGGCATGCCGTGAATAGAGAAGGACAATACTGACCGTCCTGCTGTTTCTGCTAAGCTCTTCTTGGAAACAGCCTACAAACCTTTGCATAGCTTGCTGTCTGTGCAAGATGGCCGACGAGGCTGCAGAAACTGCTGGAACGCTCCATTCAGTCTGTCAGACTCACTTCTTCCGTTCACCTTGAGTCAAATACTAGAGGCATTTGCTTATCTGTGTGCTTGAGCATCCACATCACCCACTCTGCACAATGCACTAAAGCCTGAAGCCTTGTCTCACCTCTTATGCTGAAGGCCTTCAGCCTCCAGGGCTTTTGGCTCCATACTTGGTCCAAACAGGACCAATAAGTTTGCCTTAAAAACAAAAAAGCAAAACATTTTGGAAATAATTTTCCCTCTAGTCAGTTGTCATTTTTTGTTTGTTTGTTTGTTTGTTTGAATCTCCCATTTTAAAGCTAGCATTCCATGCTTTATTTCGGGATAAATAGAAAAACAGAAGAGAGAGGTAAAGAAAAAGAGATCGTTGGTGGAACATAGGGTCCAGCATCCATTTGAAAACCCAGATGTGGGTTAGAATAAGAACTATCATTTAGTTTTGGCATGGCCTTCAGCAAAGTCACAAATAATGGTGGTGATGGTGGCTGTTACAAGCCTTGCTAGGAGGGATCCATGATGAATCCCTGATAGTGATGAGGCTGCCTAAGCATGCTGTTTCCAGATGTCCCTGTCTTTTAGAAATACAGCTCTGCTGAGATGAAGTTCACATGCCACACAGTCCTGCCACCTCATATACACAAGCCAGTGGTTTCCAGTACAACCATCAGTATGGTCCATTCAAACGAACCCAGGCCCTTAGCTGTTGCTACTCCCTCATTCTCTTTGTCTTTTTAATTTTTGTGTTTATTTACAAAAAGTAAAATTCAACAAATAAAATAAGGTTGCTTGTACATAACATTAAGGTACTGCCTCCTGTGAAATATGCCATAGGGGCCTTGTAGCTGATGAGCCAAGGCCTTCACAGAATAGGACTGGTAAGCTGCATGTCTGCCCATGGTAGTTCTACAAGTGGAAAAGATAGATAAGTGCTCATTCTTTTGGTAAAGTCCAGTCAGTCCTACAAAGCAGAGCAGCTCCATGGAAAGGCTGAGGGCCCTGAGTGATAGAGGGAGCAGGTGGCTCTGCAGAGCCAGATGCCTTCTCCTGTTCCTGGGGCATCTGTATGGTCAGGAAGCTGCTGATAATTTCCCTCAACTTTTGAAACATGAATTTGACTTCATGCAGAAGAATTGAGAAGAAAAGAAGAGGAGAAGAGAGAACCAGGGGAAAGGAAGGCTGAAAGGGAGGGAAAAGAGAGGGGATTGTGAAGGGAAAAGGAGCTAGCCCCTCCCCCAAGTACTGCTACATTTTGTACCCGAACAGACTGACTTTTTAAAATAAGAGAACTTCAATCTTGGTCTCCTTTTCACCCTTGCAGGCCGGCAGATCCCACCCTTGGACCCCCATGAAAATGGAAATAGTGGAGGGATCAAGCTTGGGAACCAGAGCTTGCAAGCCAGCCGGCGGTGCTGCTGAGCCAAGGGAGTGGCATCAAGAGCAAGGAGGACGGAGCCAGAGCCCTCTCCGGTGTCCAGTGCACACAGAAGAACCCCAACCACAGGGCTAACTCTGCCTGCTGGAGAGTGAGCAGCTTTGTACCCTGGGAGACCTGCAGGATGCTGAACAGGGAAGTTTCCTGAAAAGAAATTTTGGAAAACTCACCATACCACCACAACGTGGCCTTCGGTTTATGAAATGCACACAGCAAGGCTTATACTTGCTAGGTAATAGGTATAGTTGCCATTTTTGTTAAAGAAGTATTAGAAAATTTTTAGATTTGTCCACAAACCTCACAGTGCTGTTCTTCATTGATTTACTGTCACCTAGTCAGATTTCAATAATGTCTTCAGGACCAGGGCCTTCCTTTCTGGCAAGTTCACCAAAAAGGCAAAGGCAATATAGTAGGTTAGCTCTTAGCTGGCTTTGGAAGTAAGCATTTATTAGTTTTCTGAAGGAAATCGGAGATGCACAGCTGTGCCATTGTTCAAATTGAGAAGTGATCTCCTGTAAGAGAGGCAAAAGTTGGATTAGAAATTGCCATCCCTGTCTCCTTTCATTTATCTGATGAACATTTTTCTAAAGTATGGTCATTTGTAAATCAACCAAGTCATATTACAATGTTACATATAATTTTGAGGTTGGGAGACTCTGATTAAAAGAGTTAAGTAGTTGCTATGTAAGCAGTGGTGGATGGAAGATATAAATGGAATTCAGGGTACCCCCAGCATGCATCTGCCCATAGCAACGAGTTTCTACTCTTGGGAATGATTATTTCACAGAGCATTAGGAGACAATGTCATGATGTCACATCTAGGGATATTTGAACCTAAATTGTAGGGTAGACTTCTGTTAATAGCAGCTAATCATAGGTTGCAGCAAACCAGACAGAGGAATGTTACCACCCTAAAATTCTGGACCCCTAAAAGGTATAAAATCACAAGAGTCCCTTAAACTTTGCTGGCTTTGAAGAAAAAGGCTGTCAAGCAGTCAGTGCCAAGTTCCAGTCATAGACGGTGCTTGTCAACTCCAGGATGTGAACTTCAAATTCAATGTAGTCTTCTTCCTGCTTCTCCCAACTTGGGGGCTAATTGAATCTTAGAATACATGGGATAGCAAATACTTGTCTTGATTCAAGAGTGTCCCTAGATGTCCCATAGCAGATGTCTCAAACACTGTGAGCAAATGGCTTCTGTATGTTGTGCCAGGGCCTTCTCAAGACCGTCAGTGCCTGTCCTGTGTCTCCAGCATCAGTGGCTGACAGGATTCCATGTGCTGGCAAAGACAGTCATCTACTCACTATAGGTCCAACAAACAAAGTACAATTGAGTTGAAGTCAAAGTGGCCTCTCTCCAGCTAGTATCAAGCTTATTTTTGAACTTTTTCCCATTTGGGGGGAAACTTTTGCTGGGAGCTTATATTTACCTGTCTGTCTGTCTGTCTAGATTTCTAAGCCAAAATGGTACCATTCCTAGGAGAGGATGCCCCAGCTTTGGATTGGGTTTGCAGTGGTTGAGTTTTGCATGAACTGTTTGGGCTTCACCTTGTCAGTGAGCTGCCCTGGGTGGATTGGAGAAGCATTGATTTTCTCAGTCTGCATTGCCATTGATATCAAAGCCATGCAGGGGGTAAGTATACACACATGCCACCAGCATGAGCAGAGATGTGGCATTTGGACACACAAAGATTCACACTGTTTTGGGCCTTCTCTGCAGATAGGTGCTGAAGCCTTTAATGCTTTTCTCCCCTTGGCTTAGCATTCCTTTTGGGATATTTTAAGAATTGACCCTAAACAAAGACCTAGAAATGACAGTTGTTCCAGACATAGGATATAGTGTCCTTCTGGTTACTTCCCAAATTCTCTTCCCAACCTCCAATTTCTTATCTTTCACAGGTGGTAGGTTTGTATATGTGTAAATATGATTTTATGTCAGCTATACATGTAATCCACTTCAGAGTGGCTGTGTTTGGCTCATGACCTTGTGTCCTTAAGTAAGGCACAGATTGTTAAAGGTATCCTTTCTCAGTAGATGTCCCTAAGGACAGTGGCAGGGTTGTACAAATGTTTTATACAAGTACAGAATTGACTCTCCATTTTTCATTAAAAGTGGTATATTAGGGTTCTGGATATGATGTCATCTTGCAGACTAATCTGCATTCTAGCCAACAGCAAGGGCTGTGCCCCAGTGGGAGTCCTATTCTTTCCTGCAGTTAGGTTTGGAGGGTCAAAATATTTCCTCTGTCATCATGGACTCTGGCCTGTGTAGGCTTCTTGCTGCTTTGCAGCATTCTGGGCAAGGACTAAAGAGGCAGCAGTCAGCCAGGGATTCTGGCTGTGCTCACACGTGATCATGCTTTTCACCATTGTTGTCATGACACCCAGTGACTCAGCAGTCATGCCATCACACAGACTGTCGCCCTTTCCGGTGTTTTTGTAAAGGGTTTCCACTTGGGCTGGACCCAGGTTTTGCACCTAGAAGACCCCTCTGCAGACACCTAGGACCTTCGCATCTTGTACTCCGTTCTATGATAAAGCGTTTCAGTCAGCAATCATTTGTATCAATCGCTTTTGATTTTAACCCATTGGTTTGATTCATACTAATAAATATTTTAAGTTTTACTGAGTGTCCTTTCCTTATTACAATCAGTAAGATGATTATTCACAAATCAACTCAGAGTAAAGAGCAATATGTACACAAGTCCAGGGTGGGGAAGGGGACCCACCGATGCTCTATTGGCAGTAGCTAATTGTCTTCTTAGGAGACAGATCAATGAAATAGACCATGATCACTTGATCAAGGATGGTCACATGATCAAGGCTGTGGGGAGGGATAAATGTATTATCTATAACATATCAGCAGGCATCTCTGAGTAGAGTGTGGAGTGCAAGGCTGTAAGCCCTGGGAGAGCCACTCACAGGAGTCTATGGACTAGCCCTCAGTAGCTGTGTACTGCACAGCATGTGAAATGGAATCATGACCCTGGATGCATGAATAAAGATGACAGGGGTAGGGATATAATAATGATTATATATTGATGTGTGAATGGAAATAGAAGCATAAAAATGAAAAGCAGCAGCTCGTGAAGAGGTAAGACACAACACCAAATCAGGTCAGAGGTGCACAAGGGGCACATAACTATCAGTAATTATTATTTGTTTCATAGTGTAACAGTGGGAAGCCAATGCCCAGCAGAGTCACACATTCCTTTAGTCCCAGCACAAGGGAGACAAAGGCAGGTGGATCTCTGTGAATTTTACTGCCAGCCTGGTTTATGTAGTGAGTTCTAGGCCAGCCAGGGCTACATAGTGAGGCCCTGTCTCAATAAGTAAATAGATAAGTAAGTCTGAAGCTAGTATGAAAAAATAACGATATTTGATAAATTCAAAGCATGTGCTATACTAGCCTCTGTATTTTTCCCATATCAGTCCTTTTCAGAGATGGAGGGATATGGAGGTAAGAAGCAAGGATTAAGCTAATTTTTCACTGTGCTAGAAAGATCTTGAACAATACCAGCCTCGTGGACCTCACCACACTGCTGTCTCCTCAGCTCTCCATCTGTCCACTGGCACTGCACTTGCTCATGCACACCAAAAGAGCTTGTGCTGAGTCGATGGAAGGCCTCTGTGCCTCATGTTCTTTATGATTGAGAGGTACCAAGGGCATGCTGGGAAGCTTCTCTGGCTATACACAACCAAACAAGAATAGGAAACAATCTACCCTGACTGGAGAGATGGCTCACTGAGTAAGAGTACTTTCTAGGTAAGCATAAAGACCTGAGTTTGGACTCCCTGTACCCACATAAATCTAGGCATTGACCCCTTGTTCCTGTTATCCCAGCATTGGGGGTTGGAGGTAGGAAGTGGCCAACTAGCTTAGCAGAAATCAGGTTTCAGGTTCAGTGAGAGGCCCTGTATCACAAAAGGAAGGTGAATGATAGAGCAAGATGCCCTCTATCTTTTTATGTCTTCCACAAGCATACATGCACACATGTGCATGCACACACACGTCACAAACCAAACAAAAAGAAAACTGCAAAAGGCTTCAGGTTGGAGCCTTCACAACTGAATTCTGATGATTTTATAAGACATGACAGAGACCAGATCATGTCTGTAAATAACTTTTGTTTTCAGTGTGTGACATCTTGTTCCATCTCAGGACCCTGCCAACAAGTAGGGCATCCCCAGATGGGTCGATAACCATAGACCAAACTGTGATCCAAAATCTAATCTCTTTCTTTTCTTTTTTTTTTTGGTTTTTCGAGACAGGGTTTCTCTGTGTTGCCCTGACTGTCCTGGAACTCACTCTGTAGACCAGGCTGGCCTCGAACTCAGAAATCCACCTGCCTCTGCCTCCCAAGTGCTGGGATTAAAGGCGTGCGCCACCACCGCCCGGCTCTAATCTCTTTCTTAAGTTACCCAGTCTGTGATATTGTATTATTAGTAACAAATGTGATAGTTGATTGCTTTGGAATAGCAAAGGAAGATGGCATATTGGAGAGGGAATCTGAAATCTTGAGCATTAGTGGATGAGGACATTCTCATAGCTACCTTTATACAATCACATGTCTATCTACCATCTCTCAAACCACCCACCAATCCACATACTCGTCCACCCACCCATGTCTCTATCCAACTACCCATCTACCCACTCACCCATCTATCTGTCTTCTGTCTGTCTATCTATCCATTCATCCATCCATCCATCTACCCACAATACACATACATACATACATACATACATACATACATACATAGATACATACATACATACGTACAACCATCCGCCTAGACACCCATGCATCTCTCCATCCACAGCAACCTGACAGTCCATCCACTCACCTTTCCAGTAAGGACTTACTGAGGGCTATTGCGAATCAAAGGCCAAGCTAGTCTTCCATACTGCTCATCAATCCATGTAGTTACCATGCTTACAAGATAGAGATAGGATGTTAAAGACTAGCAAATCAAGACTATCAGGACTGAAAAGAGAAGTTTCAACAGCAGACAAGATGGCTTGACTTGGAGATACTCAGAAATCTATTCCACTACTTAGCCCTCAGATGAGCCTTACAGAGCCCTTGGTCTCTCTGGGCCTCAGTTTCCTCCTTTAAAACACGGATAATGTCACATAGCAGGGCTAATACCAAGATGAAGTGAAATAAATTATGAGTTAGGACAGGAAACAATAAACTTCAGTCTTTGACCGCCCTGCGAGTCTTCCTTTCTCTGGACATCTTGGTGGCTACATTGTTATTTTTGTTCTCATCCAGCCTTGGAAGGCAGTGCAATGTAGAGATTACAAAATTGACTCTTTGAGTCCAGCTTCCAGCTCTGGTTTGTGGGTAGTGGAATCCTTACCAGATTGATTTCACTAATACCCAGAGTTTTCTCATTGGGTGAAATGTGTATGTCACTTGCAGAATCCTATGTCCTACTCCTGGAACCCAGATAGTATCACAAATGAAGACTTTTCCCAAGCTTGCTTTCGGTCCCTTGGCCCTAAAACTAGACCTGAACTGTTACGACACTTCATAATCATTGTTTCTCTGAACTATTCTGATTATTTATCTGCAGAAATATTGCTGTATTTGATTACAGGATGGGCTCTCTGACTCTACTGGTAGACATATTATATTGCTTTTATAAAATTCAAGCAAAACTCTAGATCTTAGAAACATCCACCCCCCAAGACAAAAGGTTCTTTCAGCTTTGGGACCCACCTTGTGATTGTACCCTGAGGGCTAAGGAAATAAATGTCTGGGTTGAGTCCAGGAAAGCCCAAAGGCTGCTTTCTCCCATGGAAAGCAACACTTGTGGCCCTCACCGTACCACCTGCCTGGGACCACAGGGTTTCACCCCACAGAAAGAAGTTCCGGTTCACTGGCAATGGGCAAAGAGACACTTTGTTGGTGGTGGTGTTCTTATATCAATTGGGGCAGAGCAGATGGCAGTCCTTTGTTCATCCTAGCTAGATGCCTGGCCTGATGGCCAAAGTGACTTTATGCCTAGGACTCAAAATAATCAAATCAAATTAAATCTGGGCAGCACAGTGTGGAAGGAGGAAAAGAGAAACCTACAGATTGCCAGGCCACCTAAAAACTGTCCTCCAGCACAGGTGGGCCATAGACACCTGCTTGCCCACACATACAGCATGGATGGAGAATGTCACCCATCTGCCCATCAGCCCTACAACCAACATGTGGCAGGAGGCACCACATGTGCGAGTATGTGGTGGTCAGATGGGAGAGAAAGAGATATGGAGCAGCTTGAGCATTACGAAGGGAGATGGAGATGGAGATTTGAGGGTAGAGAGGAGTAGCCTAGTGTGAGTGGTCAGCCCAAGGTGAGGTCCCAGACAGAGCTACCACTGAGGGCCATGTCAGAGCTGCCACTGAGGGCTACACAGTGGCAGGAGTTGGTGTCAATGTGTGTGACTCATATTGCCACTAAAGAACATGGAGATGTCCCTGGTCCAGGGAGCTGCTGGGAACCATGTGGGTGTGCATAACTGGTCCTGCCTCTCACTGGATGCAGTGCTCTAGAGAGCTAGCTCCATCTCTCATGCTGGCAGCACTCAGGAGAGCAGGCCCTGCACCTTGCCTGAGCAGCACAGTGGAGCTAGCCCTGATGATGGGGGTGTGGGTGAACTGGCCCTGAGGGTGTGAATGTGGGAGAGCTGACCTCACCACTCATCTGCTGGGGGGTGGCACAAGCATACAGGTAATTCTCCTGTGAGGTGGTGAGGGGATAATGCCTCCCCTCCACTTGCCCCTCACCACCTGCAGCAGTTGGGAGAACTGGCCATGAGGGCAGGAGGGCTGACCATGCCTCCTGCCAATGGTAGAAGTGGATGGCCTAGCTAAAGCAGTGCTGGAAAGCTTGCCCTGGTGGTGTGGATAAGAAAGAGCTAGTGGGCTGACTAGCTCAGCTCCCACCCAGGCCCAGATTCAGGGCTTTGAGTTGGCCCATCTCAAAATCTACATCCTCCAAAGCTACAGGGTCTCTATGACACAGAGCAACAACAGGATAACAAGGAGTAGTCCTGGGGATCCAATATTGATGGTGTCACAGAAGCCAGAGACCTTGAACCAGACCAATGACTCACTGCAATGAACATTTGCAAGTGAAGATGTGTGGGCAGAGGGACACACTGTGACACAGTACAGCTTCTACAATGAGACATTTTCTATGCTTTGTTGTTGTTGTTGTTGCTCATTTGTGTGTTTCAGTTTTTATTGGGGGGGGTTGCAAGGGCAATGGGCAGATATGAGGGGACAGGTTGAGGAGTGGGACTGGGGTTTGTGATATTAAACACACAAACAATCAATAAAACATTAAAAAATGTTAAGGTGGCCAAGTTACCAGGCAAGGACTCAAAAACAACAATCTGCCCGAGTTGAGAGGCTGCTGGGCCCAACCCTGCACCAGGTGTCTCCCACCACATCATCTTTTGACTTTCACAATATTTAGCAGGTCGATGCTGTCATCTTCATTCTACAGATGAGGGAGCTGAGACTCCAAGCTGAATTGCCCAAGAACATAGACTGATAAAACAGGCTAGAAGTCAAATATAAGCCAGCAATATTCCTTCCTGTCTTTACTTGTTACTCTGAGGGTGGAGTAAAGAAAAGGTTTACAGACATGTTTCCAGGTGCTACTTTCAAATCATAGCTCAGTTTGTCCACAAAAATCCAAGAACAGTGCACAGTTCTAATACGTAAGGCATTTCCCCCACTGCTGTGCTGGGGATTGAACCCAGGACCTTGCAGGTGCCAAAAGTTCTCTACTCAGCTGCATCTTCCGCCCAGTCGATCTTGTTTGTAAGAAAGGATCCTGGGAAATGTAAGCAACATTCTAAATTCTACACAGTGAGAAAGTAGGGCAAGCAGTATCCACGTTGAGACCTATCCTGTTTTGAAACCCGTTGTCATATCTCAGGAGGATGCTTTTTGCCCAGGGAGCTAAGGGTTAATTGGGTCTGGCTGGAAGAGCAGAATGGCCCTATTAAAAGGGACTTGCTGGCTTGACTCACAGCTTGTCTGATTCTTCCAGAAGGTTGGTGTGTCTTCCCCTTGTCCTTGATGTTGAAGTGGAAACCGCTGTTCATCCCTCGGTGAAGTTCTTAATGCCTTGGAAATAACTCATGCACCTGGGTCAGCCATCTAGACTTTGTGGAGTCTGAGCCTCTGACCTGCTGATAACCCAGTGCTCAACCTGGTATATGCCAGTGAGCCTGGATGAGCATTCTCTGTTTCAACGCATGTTCTCCCTGTATTTACAAGGACCAGTCTTTCTATTTGTTTGAAAAAGAACCTCCCATCTTGTTTCCAAGGCCCACCCCAGAGCTTGTATGCTTCTGTCTTCTGCTTCCTTCCATACTGCTCCCTGTGCCTGTTGATCCTCTTCAGTGCTTAAGTCTTTGCTAATTTTGATCAGCTGAAGTGTAGTGTCTCCTCTGCTCCCTTATTCTTTTGTACTTAAACAATTATAAAAAGTGAATCTCAGTCCTCGGTTCACTCAGTTTCCTCACTTTGTGCTGTCAGAGACTATTAGAAACTTACCCACCTCTGGCTTCTGTAGATGCACTCTCTCCTCTTACCTCCTGGACTCTCCCTCCTTCTGGTTTCTGTGTCTTGGGCTCCAAGGTTCCCTTAGCTTTCCCTACTGCCCTCTTCCCTCTTCCTTTCTTGGATCAGGCAACTCTCCTGCTTAAATACAGTTATCTTCTACTAACCTCTTGGGAATGTTTATCTTGAGTCAACTTGATTGGACTGAGAGACAACTCGGAGGCTAGCGAGGCACACCTTTGGCTGTGTTTGTGAGTGTTTGACCCACTGATGGATTAAAAATTTGATTAGACTTTGGTAGAAACTGGAAGTTCTGGTCTGCTTAGAGAAACCAGGTCACTGGGAGTGTGCCTTTGGAGGATAGATATGCCAGGTCCCACACCCAGGATAAATTGCTAACTGAGATGCCTATTTAACTATTTAAAGACCCTGACTTGGCCACCAGGTTCTCCCAGCATCCCTCACTCCCTACCTGTTACAGGGTGTGCTGACTAGTCTCATGTCAACTCGACACAAGCTGTAGTTATCTGAAAGGAGAGGACTTCAACTAAGACCAATGCCTCCATGAGATCCAGCTGTAAGGCATTTTCTTAGTTAGCAATTTATGGGGGAGGGCCCAGCCTTCTGTGGGTGGTGCCATCCCTGGGCTAATAGTTCTGGGTTCTATAAAAAAGGTTGAACCAGCTATTGGAAGAAAACAAACAAGCCAGTAAACAGCACCCTCCCTGGCCTCTGTATCAGCTCCTGCCTCCAGGTTCCTGCCCTTTTTGAGTTCCTCTCTTGACTTCCTTTGATGATAAACAGCAATGTATAAGTGTAAGCCAAATAAGTTTCCTCCCCAGCTTGCTTTTTTGGTCCTGGTGATTTGCTGCAGCAGTATAAACCCTAACTAAGACACAGGGTATAGCTGTCATGGCCCCACCCCCTACCCTAAACCTCATCAGCCCAGGGACTAAGCTGGGCTGCCCTTCCCTATGTAATCCAGCCATTTTGGCTACATTATCCTTTTTACCCTTTTGCTCATTTGGCCTTCTGGTTTCCTGGCTCTTCCCTCTTCCTTCTCACATGGCCCAGCTCTGGGTCATATTCACTCTGATTCTCCCTGATGTCTCTGCCTCTGGTTATGTTCTCCCTCATAACTACAATGAACTCTGTCCTCCCCCACACCTAGGTACTGTCATGTCCTTTTTTTTTTTCTTTCCTTCTCTTTCCCCCCACCCCCCGCTTATCTGATACTGAAACCTGGGATCGAACCAAGGACTTTTAGCCCTTTTGGCTTTTGTTGCTGCTGTCTTGTGGTGAGCAGCCCTGCTCAACTGTTCTTCTTTCTGCCTCTGAGGGGTTGAAACGTCTGAAATTGTGAGCCTAGAGAAGTCTTTCCTTCCTCAAGTTATTCTGCAGGTGTTTCATTAGAGCAACGAAAAGTCTTCTCCCTCTCACCCTTCCCCTTCCCCCTCTCCCAGACACGCACGCATGCACACACGCACGCATGCATGCACTTGTACACACACAAATATTCCTGATATTGTTTAGTACACCACTGTCCTGATGACATCCTCTGCTTCAATGATTACTCCAGGTGTTTGACCTCCAAACTGTGGTCCAACCTAACTCCATTCCAGAGATGAGACCTTGCTCCCCAGCCACTGATGGGATGGCCCATGGGCATCCTGCTTCAGGAGCCCTTCTCAGGCACACAAACCCCAGGATATTTGTTAGTAATGAGTTTGTGCACAACATTCTCTCAATAGCTCCAGCTTCTTGGGTTCTTAATATGTTCTATTTCAGCTATTGTGACAGTTTCTGAGCAGATTTCTCTGAATTCTACAGTTGATCTTCAGGCCTTTCTGTGGTTTGAATATGTCCTCAGGATTTGGATGTTAGAAAGCTGCCCCTCAGTTCAATGGTGCTGAGAACTGAGTTCTTTAAAAAGCAGCTCGGGCTGTGCCATCATGGGTAGATTAATGTCGCTATCGTGGAAGGGGATTTGCTATCTTAGTAATAGATTTGTCAAGAATGATTTGGCCCCTCTTAACTACTCTTACCCTCTCCTGCCTTCAGTCTTTGCCACAATGTGGTGTGACACAAAGATCTTGGCCAGATGACCAGGGCATGATCTTAGACTTATCAGATTTGAAGTGAGACTCTGGGGAATAAGTTATTTCATGTTTTACCCAGTCTGCAATATTCTATGATGACAGCCCAGAATGGACTCTAACAGACCTACTGTAGAAGGAGCTAGACGCAAACATCCAAAAGTGGATCTGTCACAGTGCCCGTCAGACAATAGTGTTTCCTCAAAACATGTCTGTGATACCCCATATTAGTTATTTTTTTTTGTTTTTGCTGTGAGAATATGCCACAACCAAATAAAACCAAAGACAAAAACAAAAACACCAACTATGACAAAAAGGGCCTTACATTTTAAAGAGTTTATTTTGGCAAGTACTT